CTTGGATGTCGAATACTATTAATTCTCCATTATACTATTCACGAGTTGAGCTTCGTTCATGTGATATACAAATATCCCATCATATCCAACCCCACAGAGTTCACTGTACTTTTGATTAAAAAAAATCACTCCACAACTAGATCATAGACGTTTTACCTGATTACCCCCACTAAATCCCATTACAAAGACACTAGCAATGCTTAATGGGCACTTTCAGTACAAAGTATTGAAACAATACTAAAGAACAAAAAGAAGCTAAAATCATATTTCGTATCATCAGTAAGTAAATGCCATGCAACATATGTCTAATGTTTCATACTTCGAGAGTTGCGAAAGACGGATCTTTTTTCTTTCCTATCATTCATTTCAAGTAGAACATTTAAAGCTTTCTCCAATTACTTAAAGCAAATATCAGTAAAAATAAAATAAAGTTCTGCAGTATTAAATGATTTTGCTCAGGCCAATACAACTAATAATTGAGAAGCCATGGAATATAATAGTGCAAAAGGCAGGAATATAATTTAAATAGTGTATCAATCACATTAGGAAGTATATCCTTATTTCATTCTCTTGTTCCAGCCCCCCACTTAACTTCTACAGAGGAAAAACTGAGAAAAGATTACATGTCAAGTGGCCCAAAAGCTCCCCACGTATTTTGATCATCAGACTGTGGATCCCCCAAGATGGTTTCAATGTTTGATCTCAAGGGTTGATTCTTTGGGAAGTTCCAGAATGAATCAGAATTTTCGAAGAACACATAAAATATAAGGAGTGATGCCAAAAATAGTCCCAGTAGTAGTACATATATTTGCCACTCTGCAAACAAGAACAGAGGAAAGAAAAATAAAAATCAGATTGAGTTTCAGAATCTTAAGGGGTGGGGTAGTGCCAGGGTTAGAGAGAGACCTTTCCAATCAGCAGGAACGCTTAGTTTAGTCACCATTGCTCCCCATTCAGTAGAACTGGTAAGAATTACCCTGCAAAAACCACAAGGAGCATGTTCAGCTAAGCTTGATCTCAAATTTAATTGTAAAGTAACTTTTTGTTCAAAAATGTTATAATAGTTGATCTTTATCTTACATAAGTCATAAAACATTACTTATTGTGACAATAAGGCAGGCTTTACTTTCAAACAAGTAGAATACTTATACATATTTGATCATTATATGAATTTCTAAATCAATATATATAATGCCATTAAATTCTTCACAAACGTATCAAGTCGTGCCATTTTCACTCCACTTCTTCCTTTTCGGACATCTTCAATTCAAATCACATTGCTTTTGCACATAGCTTCATTCGATACACACAAGGCATTCTTTAATGAATTTATGCCTACCTGAATGATTCTTCCTTTTGAAAATTTTGTAGTTATTTGGAGAACAATTTCAAATCATACAAGAATATAAATTTCATTACAATTTTATTTTTATTTTTTTAATTATTTTTTTTTTAACAACCAAAAATATTAACTGCCCAGATTTGCCAGTGATCCTCCATTTGGAATTCAACATTATCAGCGATATGACCATATTATTCGCACGGGATCAATCTAATATAAAATATTTACTAGATTTAATTCATACCAATGATGTAAGTTCCAGTAGGAGTTTGATTAGAGACAGCATCAACATAATTACTATAAGTTTCTCTTCTGGTGAGTAAGCACTAAACAGTGTTCACGAGTTATAACACGTTAGTTTGCCCATGCATCATGCTCATTGCTGTATAGTATTCTGCATTTTTCAAAAATTTCACAATTTTTGTTTCTCAGCTAAAAAAATGCACATCACCCTTATAGAGTTCAGACAC